AGGCTTTGGAATATTGATTAAATGTAGTCTGTGTTTCTGTCTGTTGTATGTTTGTTATCTAGGATGGATTAGAAGAATGCCACTAAACTTTTATAGAACTTAATATTAAGTAAGCAATATTTAAATGAGATGACCAAAGAGAGACTAAGCTGTCTTTTGAGATGATACATTTTTCTGTCATTGGAAATTTTCAGGCATAGGTAGGATAAACAACTAAAATGTTAACGGATGTTAGATTTCAATAGATTTTGGGCCGTAATTTGGAATTGCTCTGAAATTTAGATCTACTTCTGAGAATTCTCTAAATATAGTAATGTGACTGAGAAATGAAGAAAAACTATTATCTGGAAGTTGGTGAAGCCCTTCTGGGCATAGTCCTGGACTGGACATGAAGGGATTTTTATTCAATGAATCTGTTCATTAAAGGAGCTAGGAGGCTGAGAAGGGCTTCTCTAGGGTATCAGATGGCTGCAGGGGTATAATTTAGAAACTGGCAGCCTGGAGAGGGAAGATACACTTAAGAAATGATAAATTGGATGCTCTTTTAGGGAAGCTGAGGGACTTGATGGAGCAAAAGCAAATCTGGGAAGTAAAATTGAAAGAGAAATGGATAAAAAGCCCACTGTCCCAAGAATCAATCAGGATTAATGAAATTTTCCTTGCTTTTTAAATTTCTATTTATTTTTTTCTTTTGGCACTTGGGATGGAGCTTGGGGCCTTGTACACGCTAGGCAACCACACTACCCTGACGTATGCATCTCCAGCTGTTTTTATTTTGTTTTGCTTTTTTTTGTACTGTTGAGGATTCAATCCAGGACTTGTGTATGCTAGGCAAGAGCTCTACCACTAAGCTACATTTTCAGCCAGTTTGATTTCTTTTGTTCAGAAAGAAAAAGCAAGGAGCAGTTGTTGAATTTGGCTTGAAAAGATAAGTTTTTTTTTTTTTTTTTCAGAGAAGGGAGACATCATTGACAGAGCATGGTGGTTTGTATGTATAATTAGATTAGAAATTTCTGAGGCATACTTCAAATATATGGTGCCTTATTTGTTAGGTACATCATGAAAGACTTTGAAGTTCTTTCATATATACTGCCAAACTTAAAAATAGATCATTTTGCTTGAATCAGTGGCTCACATCTGTAAACCTAGCTACTCAGGATGCTAAGATATGAGGATTGCAGTTCAAAGCCAGTAGGGTCAGGAAAATCGATGAAACTCTTACTGCCAATTGATCATCAAAAAGCTAGAAATGGAGATATGGCTCAAGTGGTAGAGCACTAGCCTTGAGCAAAAAGCTCAAGTTCAGGTACCCAGGCCCAGGACAGACCCAGACAGACATGTGCATACATGTGCACAAGTGTGCACACACAGACACAGACACACAGACACAGAGATCATTGTGCAAATTGAATTATTTAAATATTTATTGAGTCTACTCAATAAGTTAGATCTCCTATAGGATGTTATTGAATTGCAAAGATAACAATATTGGTTGTAACATTTGAGGAACATTCTGGCTCCTGGAGAAGGCATACCTGTAAGCAATTATAATGGAATAAAATAAATAGAAATGTATCCATTGTCTAGGGGGAAAGTACATCAAATTTCTTGGTGGTCAAACCCTTCCAAAATGGCACCCATAGAATTAAGCCTTGAAGACTGAGTGGATTCACAGCATGAGGACAGGCAAATTGGCATTCTGGGAGAGATGACAGCAAGTGCAAAGGGACAGAACTATTAAGCTATGACATACTTAAAGAAGTTTTAGATGGGTGTAACTGGAGTGAAGGGGAAGTTGGAGTAGTAGGGTGAAAAATGAGAGGGATAGATGGACTTTTCATTAGTTTTTATTCTTGGGCATATCAGTAAATTAAAAAAAATAGATCAGTGATGTGTTTTAAGATCACTGATGGCTCTTGAAGATTGAGGAAAAAGCTGTATGTGGGAGATAAGTAGTTCTTCATTTTTTAGAAAATGTTAAAAAGGCCAGGCTCTCGTGGTTTATGCCTATAATCCTAGTTATTCAGGAGGTTTGAGATCTAAGTATTGAGCTTTGAAGCCAGTCTGGGGTAAAAAAAAAGTCTGGGAAATTCTTCAGTTAACCAGTAAAAAGCTTTTTTGAAGATGTGGCATGAGTGGTAGAGTACTAGCTATGAGTGGAAAAAGCCATTAGCGAAAAAGCTTGATGAGAGTAAAATTCCCTGAGTACAAGCCATGGTATATGCAAACACACACAGAAAGAAAGAAAGAAAGAAAGAAAAAAAGAAAGAAAGAAAGAAAGAAAGAAAGAAAGAAAGAAAGAAAGGAAGGAAGGAAGGAAGGAAGGAAGAAAGAGAAAGAAAGAAATTTTTGTTTGTTCATAGCATTTAAATAGTTGATTATTGAAGCAGTGTATTCAGATGTGGCTGGTATTGGAAATGACTAATTTCTTTTTTATGCCAGTACTGGAGCTTGAACTCAGGGCTTCTTGTTCTCCCTTAGCTTTTTCATTCAAGGATGACTGTGCTACTTGAGCCACAGCTTTCTTTCCAGCTTTTTGCTGTTTAACTGGAGAGAAGAGTCTCACAGACTTTTCTATCTCAGTTGGTTTCAAACTACAATCCTAAAATCTCAGCCTCCTGAGTAGCTAGGACTATAAGGTATGAACCACCAGTATCTGGCTGGAATTATTAATTTTAAAAATACAGAATTTTAGTTTCAACTCAACCATACTAAATCAAAAGTTGTGAGGGGGTCAGGCCATAGTAACTATATATTTTAAAAGTTCCTGGTGATAATTACACTTTTTATATGTGATACTGAAGTTTGAGTTCAGAGTCCTGTGCTTCTAGGCAGGTATTCTTCCACTTGAGCCATACCGCCAGTCTGTGTTTTGCTTCAGTTATTTTTCAGGTGGGGTCTTGGGTTTTTTGTTTTTGTTTTTTTGGGGTCCGGTTGTGGGGCCTGAACTCTGGGCCTAGGCGCTGTCCCTCAGCTCTTCAGCTCAAGGCTAGCACTCTACCACTTGAGCCACAGCGCCACTTCCGGCTTTTTTTTTCGTTTTGCTTATGTGGTGCTGAGGAACTGAACCCAGGGCATCAGGCATGCAAGGCAAGTGCTCTACCACTGAGCCACCTTCCCAGAGGGGTCTTGAGTTTTATGCTGAGACCAATCTCAGACAATTATCCTACCTACTTCCAGAATACTTAGAGCCTCAGTTTTGTGGTGCTCTCTCTATCTCTATCTCTCTCTCCCTCCCTCCTTCCTTCCCTCCTTCTCCCTCTCCCTTTCTCTCTCTCTCTCCCCCTTTCCCTCCCCTCCCCCCTCTGTCCTGGGCTTGAACTCAGAGCCTAAGTACTGTCCCTGGGCTTTTGCACTCAAGGCTAGTGCTCTACCACTTTGAGCCACAGCACCACTTCTTGTTTTTCTGGGGGTTAATTGGAGATGAGTCTCATTGACTTTCTTCCCTAGGCTGGCTTCAAACTGTAATCCTCAGAGTAGCTAGGATTACAGATGTGAATCACCGGTGCCCAGCTTTCTTCTTAAAAATTGTATTCCTTCTGCTTTCCAGAAGCATTTAAAAATTGCCAGTAAATTCAGCAGGATAATTATCTTCTTGACCATCACATACTTTACACAGACCTAATTTTAGAGGACAGAGATACTAGAGAAATGATTGAATCTAGGAGTAGAAAACCTTACTTGTAAAGGACCAGATAGTAAGTGTTGCAGGTTTGTGGGCATACAGTCTCTTGCATTTACTCAGCTCTGCCAGTGTAACCTGAAACTGCAGATAGTACGTAAATTAATGAATCACGACTGAGTTCCAGTGAAACTATGTATAAAAAGAGTAATTTTATTAGGTGCTAGTGCCTTATACTTGTAACCCTGAAATTAATAGGACCATGATTCAAAGGCAGCCTAGGGGGGAAAAAAAAGTTGGTGAGACCCCTTCTCAACCAGTAGCTGTAAACTGTGGTGCATACCAGTCATCCTAGCTCTGTGGGTGAATGAGATGGAAAGAATTGCAGTTCTGGGGGCTGGGACGGTGGCTCAGAGGTAGAGCACTTGCCTTGTATGCGTGAGGCCCTGGGTTCGATTCCTTAGCACCACATAAACAAAAGGAAAAAAGCCGGAAGTGGCACTGTGGCTCAAGTGGTAGAGCACTAACCTTGAACTGAAGAGCTGAGGTACAGCACCCAGGCCCAGAGTTCAGGCCCCATGACCGGACCCCCCCCCCCAAAAAAAAAAAAAAAGAATTGCAGTTCTGTGTTAACCTTGGCAGAAAAGTCCACAAAACTCCATCTCAACAAAAGAAGCTGGTATAGTGGTAAGTACTTGTCATCCCAGTACGTGAAAAATAGGAGGATTATGGTATAGGAACATGCCTGGGCAAGAAATAAGATCCTAATCTCAAAACTAACCAATACATAAAAAGGGCTGGAGGTGTGGCTTAGTGATGGAATACCCTGCCTAGCAAATGCAAGGCTCTGAGTTCAAACCCCAGTATGTTCTCCACAATAAAAACAAAACAAAAACAAACCAGCAGTTTTTCTAGTAATCCATTCCAAAGGTTTGCAAAGTAAAAGGTTGTAAGAGAACTTACTACATGGAATGATGTTAAGGTTTTCATTTAAACTTTATATAGGTCAATAAATGAACCCAGGAGGCTAAGGAATTTCTCTAAAGTTAGTATTACTGGTTTCCCCTCTTAGTTTTTTTTCTGGGCCAAATTTCTGCTCTTCAGTGATCTATCTGTTATAACTGATAAATCTGTTTTCTCCAGTATCTCAGATATGGGAATGCAGAAAAAAACAAAAAACAGAATCCTTTTGAATTTTGCAGTGATGAGCACGTGGTAGGCATTTACAATATGTAAGTATTGACAGAATAGGCTAGTAGTATTCAAGGACTGTTCTAGCAGTAGAACTTTACATTATTAGTATATATTCTCTGACATTTTAACATATATTTCTTGTGTTCAAAAAATAAACAGATTATGTTCTTTCTTCTGATTTCAGTAGCTGCTGCTGGTGGTGACAATGTCAAGTAACGGCCTAGATACTCAGGACAAACCCCCAGCCCCTCCGATGAGAAACACCAGCACTATGATTGGAGCTGGCGGCAAAGACACTGCAACCCTAAACCATGGTTCCAAACCTCTGCCTCCAAACCCAGAGGAGAAGAAAAAGAAGGATCGATTTTACCGATCCATCTTACCTGGAGATAAAAGTACAGTATTTCATCTCTTTGTCATGATTTATATGCTTAAAAAGAGTTTTCTTTTATTACCTAGATAAAAGACCTGACCTTCCTTGACTTGATTTGTCTTTAATACCTCTTATTTTTAACTAAATTTTTTAAAATAGTTTGTTTACTTAGTGCCAGTACTGGACCTTGAATTCAGGACCTTGTGTTCTTGCTTGGCTTTAAAGCTGAAGGCTGGCACTCTTAGCATTTGAGCCATGCCTCCACTTCCAGCTTTTTGTTGGTTAATTAGAAATGAGAGTATCATAGATTTGTCTGCCCTATCTGGCTCTGAACCTTGATTCTCAGATCTCTGTCTCCTGCTCAGCTAGAATTAAAGGTGTGAGGCGACTGTCCCTCAGTTACTGTGTATTATTTATTTGAACTCATGGCCTAGTTTGCTAGGCAAGTGATCTATTAGTTGAGCTGTGTCACCCTCCTTTTTTCTTTAGTTATTTTACAGATAGGCTTTGCTGTGCTCTTTCCTTTCCACCTCAGCCTGTCCTGAGGTGGTCATCTTTCTATCTCCACCTCTCATGTAGGTGCCTGCCACCACAACAGGCTTGTTCTTTTAAATAGGATCTAACTTCTAGTTTTTGGCCTTAAATTACTATCCTATTTCTACTTCCCAAATAGTTGGGATTATAGGCATGAATCACCATGCCCAGCCCTACCTTTTATTTTCTGATTAACTGTTTTTTAAAATTTTTCCTTCTTAAAGTGGCTGAAGCCAAATGCAAAATAGAACATTGTGCAGAACTATCTCTGAGCATAATTCTAAGAGAGTTATTATGCTCTTAACAGATTTTTGACAGTTTTTGTTTCCAGCTTCTACTTTTATTTATTAGTTATTATAAAGGCGATCTACATGGCTGGGAATGTGGCTTAGTGGTAGAGTGCTTGCCTAGCATGAATGAAGCCCTGGGTTCGATTTCTTAGTACAACATAAACAGAAAAAGCTGGAAGTGGCACCGTGGATCAAATGGTAGAGTGTTAGCCTTGAGCAAAATAAGCTCAGGGACAGTGCTCTGGCCCTGAGTACCCCAGGAGTGACAAAAAAAATAAATATAGGTGGTATACACCTATATTTACACAGGAGTTACAGTTACATAAATCAAGTAATGAGTACATTTCTTTTTTGGGTATTGTAATTTCAGGCAATTTGAGGCTACTTATTTTCTTTTCAAGGTTTTTAAATGCTTTGAAATCACAAGGCAGAAATAAATTTGAAATGTCTTCATTTGCAAGTTTTTTTCCCAAATTAGTTTTATTTGGAATACTTAAAAAATTGTTTGTTGCCTTGTGTTCATTTGGATTTCCTGACCTGATACAACACCCAGATTTGGGAATTAAATATCAGTAAAAATATCAAGAAATGGTTGAGAATGAAGGAAACAGAGATAACTAGGACTCACCAGGAGTTTACAGTAAGTGATACTGATACTTGAACTAAGTTCCTTGTGCTTTCTTTTGGCTTTTTTGCTCAGAGCTGGTACTCTAGTACTTCAGCCATACTTCCACTTCAGACTTTTTGCTGATTATTTGGAGATAAGAGTCTCCTATATGTGTCTTCCTGGGTGGGTTTCAAATTCCAGTTCTCAGATCTCAGCCTCCTGAATAGCTAAGATTGTAGAGGATAGCTACTGTTGCCTGGCTTATTTCCCTCTTACTAGTAAAACTTCCAGAAGAGTAGTCAGGATCTCAACAATTTAACTGGAAAAATCACCAATATCCTTATATACAAGGTAGTACAAAATAGAGGCTTTTTCCCCCCTTTTATGTGTTAGATGACTGTTGATATAAAGTAAAGTTCCTATTTATCCTTGTAAAGGCTCTGTTCTTATGGCTTGCTGAAGAATTATCTCTAAATAGTTGTCATTAGCTTCTGATTCTCGTCCATCACTTTCAAGAAAGTTAAAAGGTAACTCACAAAGAGAATTTCCCCAAATTATTTATCTCATAAGGACTTGTGTCTTAAAATATATAAAGAATGATTATAATTCAAAAGATACTATAACTCAGTTTAAAAATGAGCAAAAGATCTTAACAGACTTCTCCAAAGGAGTTGTACAAATGGCATATATGCACACAAAAAGATGCTCAATATCTTTGCCTATCCGGGAAATACAAATCAAAACTATAAGATCTACTTTACATCCTCTAGAATGACTATAAGAAAAAAGGCAGATAATAGCAAATGTTTCTGATGTTGTAGAGCTATTGGCCACCCTTAACAGTTGCTGATTGGAATGTAAAGTGAATGTACCATTTCAGCAAATGGTTTGGCAGTTCCTCAGAAGGTACAATATAGAGATATCATATGACTCAGAGGTTTCCTCCAAGGAGAAATGAGACATATTCACACAAAACCAGTTCATTAATGGTTTATAGCAGCATATTATTCATAACCCCAAAGTAAAAATACCTAAATGTTCGTTGTCTAATGGATGGATATGAAACGTGATGTATCCATATAATAAAATGTAATTTTGCTAACAAAAAAGAAGTCCTAAGCTACGCTGCAACATAGATGAACCTTGAAAATACTGTGCTAAGTGAAAGAAGCCATTCATAAGGGATCACATCATGTTGGATTTCATTTCTATAAATTGTTTAGAAAAGGTAAATTCATAGACAAAAGATATATTGGTACAGAGTCAGGTAACTCACATCTGAGATTTGAGGATTTCAGTTCAGTTCAGTTCAAAGCCAACCTGAGCAGGAAGTTTCATGAGACTTTTTTTTTTTTTTTTGCCAGTCCTGGGGATTGAACTCAGGGACTGGACATTGTCCCTTAGCTGCCTTTTGCTCAAGGCTAGTGTTCTACCACTAGAGCCACAGTGCCACTTCTGGCTTTTTCTACTTATGTGGTACTGAAGAATTGCACCCAGGGCTTCATGCATGCTAGGCAAGCACTCTACCACTAAGCCATATTCCCAGCCCCTTCATGAGACTCTTCTCAAAGCAGTCACCAAAAAGTCAGAAGTGGAGGTGTTGCTAAAGTGGTAGAGCACTAGCCTTGTGCACAAAAGTTCAAGAACAGCATCTAGGTCCTGAGTATAAGCCCTAGAACTGGCGCACACACACACACACACACACACACACACACTCTCTCTCTCTCTCTCTCTCTCTCTCTTTATTAGTGTAGAGGGGAAGGAGTAGATAGCATTAGAGGGAGAGAGCTAAGAGGTTCAGTTTCTTTTTGGAGTGATAAAATGTCCAGAATTTATTGTGGTGATATTTTCCAAGCACTGAGAAAATGCTAAAACTGTTGAATGTGAACTGTATGGGTGAATTATTGTAGTGTGTGAATTATATAAAGCTGGTTTTTCAAAAAACAAAAACAGAAGATTGTTACCTGAAGCAACAAGTAGAAGCAGCAACATCATTGGAACTGAACACTTCAGACAACCTTAAATCTTGAATGGGATAATGAGGGTCTAGATGTCTGTGTTACAGTCTTCTCATATAAGTTGGGTTTGTATTAATTGCTTCTATAAACATCAATGCCTTCATCTTTAAAAAAAAAAAAAGAGTCAGCCAGGTACTGGTAGCTTGTGTTTATAATCCTAGTTATTCAGGAAGCTGAGATCTGAGCATGGTTCAAAGCCAGCCTAGGCAGGAAAGCCCATGAGACTCTTTATCTCCACTGAAGCACCAAAAAGGCCAGAAATGGAGCTGTGGCTCAAGTGGTAGAGTGCTAGCCTTGAGCAAAAGAACCTCAGTAACAATGCCCAGACCCTGAGTTCAATCCCTAGGATGGCACCAAAAAATGAAAATGTTAGAGCAGAGCATCAGATTATGTGCAGTTTCTTTTAGCTTAGAAATCCTATAATTATATCAAAGAGGTACTGCAAAGATGTCATTGGATAAGTCTTGACTATGTAGGTGAAAAGAAAATAGGCTATTATGAAGTACTTTAATCATTGATAGAGTAGACCTAAATGTTCTTTTGGAAATACTGAGTGCCTCCTGTAGGCCAAATCTAGTCTGAAAATAAGTATCACCCTCAAAGACCAAAGCCTCAAAATGTATCTCAGTAGGTTGAAAATGCAGTAGAAAACTGAGAGTTAGGAGTTCTTGCAAAATGAAGTAATAACCTCTTTCATTCTCTTGTTATTAATTTTCTATAGATACCTGGAGCACATTGATTTTACCCTTCTGCTTTAGGAACATTGATGGCTATTGCTAATAAATACATAAAAATAAAAAATAACAAAAAAACTGAAGTTTTTCCTTTTGTTTAGAAATTTTGCTCAGGCAACAACCTAGAGGGACATAGCAGTGTAGGCTAATCTTGGAAGTGGTATGCCCTGCACCTACTATTTGAGAATTTATATTTGCTACATAGAGAATTGGTCTGAGAACCTAAACCAAGTCAGCCTCTGGCATTTAACTCTGTGATTTATTTTAAAAATAACACTTAATTCTAATATCCTCATCTGTAAAGTGTGAATAATCATGGTTCCCATCTACTCTATCATTAGTAGTTTTTTTTCTGCCATTTGACACAGTGGATGCAAAAGCATTTTCTAAACTGCAAAACAATACACTTAGAAGGTTTATGGTTTTTTGGTCAGTCACGGGGCTTTTACTGTCCCTTGACATTTTTCACTCAAGGCTAGTGCTGTACCACTTTGAACCACAGTGTCACTTCCAGTTTTCTGGTGGTTAATTAGAGATAGTAATTGCACAGACTCTCCTGCCCAGTCTGGCTTTGAACCACAGTCCTCACATCTCAGCCTCCTGGATAAGTAGGATTGCAGGCATAAGCTACCGGTGCCTGGCTGGTTTATGTATTTTTAAGAAATTTCATTTACTATTTTGTCTGATTCTCACAGTTTATTTTCCATTGGGGAGCCTAAGGCTTAGAAAATAATGAATAGTTCAAGGTCTCATAGGGAGAAAGTTGCAAGAGTGAGTGTGGGAACTAAAGTCTTCCTAAAATATCTATTCCATCATCACATAGTACTGTAACTTGGTTAGCTACTCTGAACCCTGATTACTCACCCATAGTACTTTAAAAAAATATAAATGCCTGGTTCTACCTATATTTTGGAACAGAATTGTGTCTGTATGTAGACAAGAAAGAGTTCTTTTCAGACTATAGTTGGTTGAGATCTGGTACTGGGAAGAATGTCTGTGGGTATTACCTAATGCTGACCTTCAGTATGGCCTCAGTGTGTGCCTGGGGGATGTATACATGATTGGAAGAAGAAGCCATAATTGAAGGGATGTAATAAGTGGCGCTGAGTTGCAGAATTCCATGTGGAAAGCCTGGTTCCTGTGGTTAGGACCTGGAGCCTTTGGTTTATTCGAAGAAGTCTTGCAGCATTTAGTTTGGAATCTTTTTCTGGCTACATTTTCATGACCAAAGTGGAATTCTCTGAGCTTGGGAAGAGTTTAGCAAAGTTAATTTTAACATTGGACTGCATCAGTGTTTATCTCTCCCAAGTTTGGAATTTTTTTACTGCTTTGCGCTAAGATTCTCTCAGTTGAGCCAATGAGAGGTGCTGCTTAAAAATAATTTTAAAAATAAATAAGGCCAGTGACTTGTGCTAAAACTTTGGTGCCTATCCTGAAACATGTTACTTTGCAGGGTTAACTTCAGTTTCTCAAGCCATCAGGAAACCAAGTAGACTAGGCCACGGATATGGCTAAGTTGGGATAGGTGATGTCAAGTTTCTTTCCCTACTTTATTTCCTCAAACCTAAGCTCTCTAATAGTGTCCTCAAACCTAAGATCTCTAATAGTGTGAAATCAGGTGATTGTTTCTTCTTTCTAATCTCAGCCATATTTCCATATTTTGATGAATTGGTTGAGAAATACCAGTGTCTTGAGAAATCTTGTTAGTTTCTCATATTTCTCTTACTAATGATTACTTAAATTTGTAAAGCTTATAGTTTACAATGCCATACATTTTCTTTAATTAATTGATCCTCAAAATAAAAATAGAAACACTAAGAATAATAAAACAGTAAACAGATAAGTTGATGTTAGGGAAATGAACCCTAAGATATGTATTCAGCTGTTTTTTTCTTTCATGTGATTGTTTCTAACACATTTATAAGATTATTTCTTTGTTGCTTTGCATGTCCCTCCCCCACAGTATAATAACCCCTGCTTTCACTGTATTTGATGTTGGTATAATTTGTGGAGGGGAAGGGAAAAAACAAATCATTTAAATAGGGATACAGGTGGACCCATTGCAACAATGAGATGTACAAGTTGTTATGTCGAAACGAACTTTACAACTTTGGAGGGGGGAGGGAGGGAGGAAGATTGGGTGGGGGGGCAGGGGGCTGATGGGAAGGGATGGGAAGGGGCTACAATGCTTGATACGAAATGTACTCATTATCTTGCCCATGTAATTGTAACCCCTCTGTACTTCTCTATTTTCACAATTAAAAAAACAGTAAAAATAGAAACAATAGATACTAGAACAATAATTCTTCAGCCTCCACTTATAGAATGTCTGTTAGGTTGTATTAGGAGCTTTGATGCTTGTGAAACACACCAGTTGCTTTAGGTGGATAAATATTTCCTTGTATAGACATAATTGCAGTTTACAGTAGTTTATTTACTTGTCCAAGGACATCTAGGTAGGGAATGGCAGAGCTGGGATTGGACCTTTATTTGATTTGATCCCAAGGACTTTTATGTTATACAATATAAGTACTCATGGGTTTAGCAAATCAGTGTGGTTACATGCTGCATAAAATTCATGAAGTCTGAATTTGAACCAGTGTCTTTTGATTTCTAGACTGCTCTATTTTCTTCTTCTTCCTCCTCCTACTCCTCTACCTCCTTTTCTTCCTCCTCCTCCTTCTCCTCTTCTTCATCTTCCTCTTTCTCCTCTTCTTTCTCTTCTTCTTCCTCTCCTCCTCCTCTTCCTCTTTCTTCTTTCTTCATTTTTCTTCTTCATATTGGGCTTGAATTCTGGGCCTGGGTGCTGTCCTTAAGCTCCTCAGCTCAAGGCTAGGGCTCTACCACTTGAGCCTTAGCACCATATCCGGTTTCCTGGTGGGTATTTGGAGATAAGAGTCTCATGGATGTTCCTGTCTGGGCTGGCTTTGAACCGCAATCCTCAGATCTCAGTCTCCTTAGTAGGTAGGATTACAGGCATGAGCCACCAGTGCCCAGCTCCCTCTTTCATTCTTAAAAGCATTTGGATACTACAAAGAGTTTGAAGTCTTCCAACTTAGAGTCTTTTGCACTAGTGCTTTCAGTAGAACTGATTTAGTTTGTTTTTAATGAATGTAGTTATCCTATTTGTTGTTATATTCACTTAGTCTCCAATATGGAAAAGATACAATATAGAAGAAACTCTAAAGCTAGATGTTATGACATGCCTATATAGTCTCAGCTAATGGAGACACTGAGGCAGAAGGGTTACTTGAACCAAGGAGTTTGAAATCAGCCTGGGCAACAAAGACAAGGATGCTCTTTAAAAAAAAAAAAAAAAAGCTGTGCTTAGAATTTTAGCATCTGTGACTCATTTTTTGGGGGGGGGGTCACTCTTATTTTTTCCTTTGTGACATTTGGTAAGTTCCTTTACCATTCTTAGCCTTAGTAATCTTACCTGTGATATGGCTAAGTAATAATTACAGAGTTGCTAAAAGGCATATAGGATTAAAGATGTGAAAAAAGGTCAGGAGTGGTGGTACGCACAGCACCAGGTGACATAGGCAATAGAACCAGGGCTTAAGGCCAGCTTGGGCTATAGAGTGACATTCTTGCCTTAAAAAAAAAAAAGACATAGAAAATACTGTGTAAACACAGTCTTGTTAAGAGTTGGTAGTACTTTTGGTGGCACTCATGCATTATTATTGCTTACATTCTTCAGAATTCTTATGAGACTTATAAAATAATTCTGAACACAGTTCTTCCAACATGGAATTAAGGAATGGCCTTTTCTCGCCCTAAATATAGGCTTCCTGTTGATTTAGACAGAGCTAATGGGAAAGCCAGATTAAATGATTTTGGGCACTAAGACTAAGCAGACCCAAGTACTAGTTTGCCAAAAAAGATCTTAAGAGTTCTTTCTAATGTGAGAAGCAGAATTCTCTAAACTCTGGGTATGGACAAATGAAATATTTGAAACAAATCAGTCAAAAGAGATAATGGAAGGGGTATAATTGAAGAGCTGAAGATTTGATCAGGTAGACTGAGTCTTCTACCAAGTGTTCTGTGACTTCGGGCAAGTCAGAGCTTACTTCCCAGGGCCTCTTTCTTCTGGGAGTGGAATTAGATGGTTTAAGGTCATTTCCTAGTATTTTCTAAGATGTTCCTGAACTAAATAAATTCTGTGGTAGGTTATGTTTGGGATTTAGAAGCATAATGATCTTAATTAAAAGCCAAGATTTTGGTTTTAAGATTATAATATTATATATATATATATATATATATATATTTATTTATTTAAATGGCAAGAACTCATTCAAGACAGGAAATGAGTAAGATACACAGTAGTGTAGCAGACTCAGTGCCTTGGGAATTCACAGGGGAAGGAAAGGTTAGGAAATCTTTTCTGGATGAAGTAGAACTTGAATCAGTAAAGATGACCAGAACAGGAGAAAAAAAGTGAGGAGTTAGGAGTGTGTGAGACATTTGAAAGGTCCCAGAGCAAAGAGTGACTAGTAGAGGCGGGCTAACTTTAGCATTGCCTTCTATGTTCACATGAATAATATACAATATAAATAATATGTAATATATAACAGTATACTACATATAATATGTATTTGTAAGATCTAAATGAAACATGAATTGGCTTGTACTTTCCTGAAACCTTTAAAAGGTAATAGATCAGGAAGAATTTAGAAATAGAAAGTAGTTCCCAACAGAAAGCAGTTCCAAAGCCCTGACACATGTCCTACATATTCTAACTATGAACAAGACAGATGGAATTGTAGCATAATGAATGCTTGACTTGGGCCCTGGTATAACCCTTAACCTTCTCTCTCTCAAAGCAGCTGCTTCTGGAGGACAATTGCCAAATGCAAAAATAGCTTAAACCCTAGCAATTGGCATGGAGGCAAATGGTTCTCATAAAGATACTGAGGAAAAAAACTTTAGGGATCAGACCTGGGTTCAGATCTCAGCCCTCATTAGCTAATGATGAAATTATTCAGTGTTTCCATTTGTAAAATGACTTTCAGTAATATTTAGCTCATATGATTGTAAGAATAAAGGGAAATAATGTATACTACTGTACACATACAGTAAGTTCATAATATTTCTTGATTGGTACATCAAGTTTGTTTTCCTAATTCAACTTGAAATTCTTCAGAAGTACTAAGCTAGAATGTTAAAGGCCTTGCTTTTATTTCACTTGCTTAACAACTGCCAGCAAATTTGTGCCACAATTTCCTAATCTGTGAGAGAAATTTGCCTATCAGGATCATTATTTGAAGTAATAGCTATGAAATGACAGTTAAAAACTCTTAGGAAAATGTCATCTTAGGAAGAAATCTAGGTAGAGTGCTTGTTTCCCTGATTAAATAGATACAGAGTGTAGGAGGTAGCATAGCCCTAAAGACCATCCTGTCTGTCCTTGTCGTTCAGATGGGGGAGGCGAAGAACCTAGACTCTACACTATGGTGAGATAAAGGTGAAACTGGCTTAATACTTTAGATCCTCTTGTGTTTTCCTTCCCATTTTACATGCCCTGCGCATTTACTTCAATCCAGGTCCATAGTTGGTCTGTAAATACATATGTGAACTAGATAGACTTTGCCTTCTACAGGAGCTTATGAGTTCAATGAGAAGCTAAAGTAAGTCTAAAAGCTTAATGATGTACTTTTAAAATTTCCCTTTCCCTATTTCTCTTGTAGCAAATAAGAAGAAGGAGAAGGAGCGGCCAGAGATTTCTCTTCCTTCAGATTTTGAGCACACAATTCATGTCGGTTTTGATGCTGTCACAGGGGAGTTTACAGTAAGTGGCTATATGCTGTTAAAGGTGATACTATATCATCCTGATGCTTCTTTGTTTGCCCAAGACCCTTATTTCTATATCCTTTCATTCATGAGAGGACCAGTTACTGAATCTCCACTTTGCACCTAGAGAAGGTTTTATATTTATTATTATTTTTTTTTTTTTATTGGAACCCAAGGTTTTGAATACTCTCCCACTGATCTATATATCCCTCTACCTTCCCACCAGTCCAAACAAACCTTTCTTTAGGGAAATCATGATAGCAGGGTCTGTATGGGGCACTGATGATACAGGAATAAACCAGACATGGTCTCTACTCTAAAGGAGGTAAAGCCTGGTGAAGTGACAAACATCTTAGGATCTGATGCCCACAATAAGGAGAATATTATAAAAATAAGCTTGTGGGAATTCTGAGGGAATAGAGGGAAAGGAATGACTATAAGCTCCTCTTAAGCTGCTAGTAGATAGCAGGATTAGATCTGCTTTTCTTTTAGGTTCCCTTGGAACTATATCTTCCTGAAAACTTTGCATATTTCTTTTGTAGGGCATGCCAGAGCAGTGGGCCCGCTTGCTTCAAACATCAAATATCACTAAATCAGAGCAAAAGAAAAACCCACAGGCTGTTCTGGATGTGTTAGAATTTTACAACTCTAAGAAGACCACCAACAGTCAGAAGTACATGAGCTTTACAGGTATGAGGATTATGTCCAGACAAGTCATAGGAGGAGGTGGCGTTAATCTGGATAGAAAAGCTTTGTGTTCCTATTAGGCTAGCATGAGAGAAGAAAGGGGAAAGATTGGAGGTACCACTTTTGCCAAGATGGAATTTTGGAATTTGATAACAGAGATGCTTGGCTTTTGCATCAATTTCAAACTTGCCTTCATTCTGAAACTGCAGGTGTGTGCATGTGTGCATGCAGATGTGTATTTCTTATTTTAAAATAGAATGATATTGTATAACAGCAAACACAGGCTTTGTGCTAAAAGGTCTAGATTCTGACTCTAGGTTTGAATTGTCATGTCATTTCTTTGAGCTTCAAAATGGGAATAATACTATCTCAAAAGGGTATAATTGAAGAATAAGTGAGTGAGTTCATTGATGTAAAAGATTTTTATAAGTTATAGCAGCACCATGGAAATTTAACTATCAGTCTCATTTTAATATCATTAGTTAATACTAATAATATATCACTTAGGTTAGTAATGCAGACAAAAATCAAGCCAGTAGTATTGAATAGTATATGCATGCTAGGGATTATGTTTTTTGTTTGTTTGCTGGTTGGGGGACTTGAACTCATGACTTCAGACTTGCTGAGTAGGTTGGCACCATACTACTTGAGCCATGCCAACCTTTTTGCTGATTTGGTTATTTTATGGATGGAGGCTCACAGACATTTCTACCCTGGCTCTCTAAACTCATCTTCCAGATCTTTGCCTCCTGAGTAGGATTATATGTATGAGCTACCAGAACTTGACTTTAGAGTGTTGGTATTTTTGTTGTTGGTGATAGTGGAGTGTGTGTGTGTGTGCGCGCGCGCATGCGTGTGCGCACATGTGCGTGTACTCTGGTGCTAAAGTTTGAACTGAGAGCCTTACACTCTCCCATGACTTTTTCGCTCAAGGCTGGTGATCTACCTCTTGAGCTCACACTTTCACTTTTTCTCGAGTGTTTTTTAATAGTATAGTGGGATTGATTTCAAGTCTCATATAGTTATGAGGATCTTTTTTTTCTACTTTACTACTCCCTTCTAGTGATTTTTTTGGAATACCCCCATCCACAGCAGAGGAATTTTTTTTTGGGGGGGGGGTCCAGTCATGGGGCCTGAACTCTGTGCCTGGGCACTGTCCCTCAGCTCTTCAGCAAAAGGCTAGTGTTCTACCACTTGTGCCATAGTGCCACTTCCGGCTTTTTTTTTTCTTTTTGCTTATGTGGTGCTGAGGAATCAAACCCAGAGCCCCAAGCATGCAAGGCAAGCACTCTACCACTGAGCCACCTTCCCAGCCCAGCAGAGGAAATTTTCTAGGATAACGTATGAGAGGCCTGTATTTCTGGAAATTGCAAGAAGTACCTTAGGGTATACCTGCACCCCATGTTTGGCAAACATGAAGGCCAAAGAAGACCTCTTTAAAGTCAGTGTCTAGACTAGTCTTCCTTCTCAGCCTAGTGCTGTTTGTTCATGCTGCCTCCTTCAAAGGGTTGGGAAAGGTGAGAACCAGGATTAACTGGCTGATTTTGAAGGATGGTTTTCCCAGCCAGTACCTGGCTTGTATCAAAGGGGACAGATGGTGGGAATGACATACTGCAGGTTCACTCACGCTGCCGTGATAGTGCTCAGGAGAGGGTCATGCATCTCCCAGCAGCATTTCCTTCCTTTCATCTGTCCTAACTACGTTAGTCTCACTTCTTCGATTGAAGGGCTGTGTCATTCCAAGAAGGCATTATCGTGAGAGGGTATATAGTTTTCTAGTAGTTGTAGTAGTTTTCTATAGTCAGGAAATTAGAACCTACATTTATCACAGAAATATCAGACTAGAAGCTATTTTTTGTATGCATGTATATAAATATGCACAGGTGACATGTTCCTGGCAGTATTTGAAGTTATAGTCTACCTAAGTATTTGTGAATAAATATGTGCATAGAGTATATACATATAATTTAGGTAATTATGTATTCATTCGTATGTGTACATATGAATAATGTTGGATATATGTAGATATGTGTGCATGTATCTGCTGTGTGTATAAACTTAAACATATACACATAATTTTTTACAATTTAAGATAAAGATCAATTCTAGGCAGAATTGTACATTTGATACTGATGGATTTTACTGTCAAATCTCTTTTTTTTTGTTTCTCCTTCTCTTGTCCTATTAGTTGTGGTAACACTACCTCAGTTGGTATATGCTAACTGGTGAATTATCTCATATGATTTTCACCATGGCCTTTGGGGATGCTAGAGTAAAGACTATTACTCCCATTTTATAGACTCAAAGAAGTTGATTAGGCTTAGAGAAATTAAATGAATTACCCAAAATGACTCAACTAATGCATAATAGAAGTATGTGTAAAACTTGGGTGATTAAACCTTGGGCTGTCTATAACTCCCCCAAAACTCTACATGCCTGTTGTTGTTTTTTTTTTCCAAGTTTCCTCTTTGACACTGATTTTTTTTAATGCCAATTAGTGCCTAATTTTTTTAGGCGAAAGACTAGATTGACAACCCATTTGAGTTTTAGCTTTATTTTCCACTGATTTATGTAATCTTGAACCAGTATCTTTCCCTTTGGGAAGTTCAGTTTCCCTATTTGTAAAATGAAGTATTTAGAAGTATTCTAGTCTCTCATCTTTTGCTTGAAAATTGTATATCATCTTAAAAAGAAGCAAAGATTTTTTAAAATGTAAGATGTAAAATGTATGATGTAAGAAGTATGTTTATAGCCAGACTACCCAGGCCTCAAAATTGCTAGCAGTAAATTAGGATAGGTGTGGTATAGTGGAGTCATAGTATTGCATTCTGTATGCTGATAGTGATTTGGAAGATAAATGAATTTAAGTTATGAGTATTAATTATGAATTATATTTAAATTTATTTCTCCAGGGCATTGCTGGCTTCTCTGGGTTGTTTTATTAGTGTTTTGGTTTTTTTTTGGTCGTGGGGCTTGAACTCGGGGCCTGGGCTCTGTCCCCCAGCTCTTAGCTCAAGGCGAGCACTCTCCCACTTGAGCCACAGTACCACTAATGGTTTTCTGGTGGTTAATTGGAGATAAGATTCTCATGGACTTTCCTGCCCAGACTAGCTTTGAACTAAGATCCCCAGATCTCAGCCTCCTGAGTAGCTAGAATTACAGGTGTGAGCCGCTGGTGCCCGACCCTTAGTGGTTCTTTTTTTTTTTTCTTTTATTGTGAAAATACTGTACAGAGGGGTTACAATTACATGGGCAAGATAATGAGTACATTTCTTATCAAGCATTGTATCCTCCTCCTTTGTT